CACATAGAATGGTGGAGACCATGGGCAGCTAGTGGAGAGGCACCTAATTCTACCTTGGGAAGGCAAGCAGATAAAGACATTTCACAGTTATTAATATTTGAACTAAGTCTTATAGAATATTCCTGAGTCCACCCAGTAAGCTGGGTGTAGGAGGGAGGTGTGAAAAGTCTCAGATGTGATGGACAGTGTTCAGTAAGACTTGAATACAGGACACATGAGGAGTGGAAGGAAAGTAAGCTAGAAAGGGAAAGTACAAATGTTGGAGCACTTTATGTGCTACAATAAGCAACGGGGAGAATTGATGCAATTCAGCAAAGAAAAAATGCGACTAGAGTTTTGAAATGGGAGATGTGCAGTATGGATTGGAGAGGAGCAAGTCTAGTGGCAGAGAGGTCAGCTTAGAGTCTCCTGTTATAATCCATTTAAGAGAAGATGATAGTGGTAGTGTGAAATGGAGAGGCAGGAGTGGATGCCAGAGATATTTAGGAGATAGAAGGTACAGGGCTGAGTGATTGAATAGGGACAGAGTGCAGAGAGGGAGAGATCCATTGTCTGGCTGGGGACAGGAGAAGGAGTTTACAGATGGAAGATATAAGTTTAGTGTTAGGATATGTTGAATTTGAACTAGCATGGGATATCTAGGTGATACACACTAAGCTGTGGTTAATGTGTTGGGATAAAATAGGTATCTGAAGGTTAGGTATAACTCCTTTGAGAAGTGGAAGAGTGAGCTGATTAGTAGAATCGAGAGATGTATCAAGTGACACAGAGGTCCCAGATGAAGTTAAAAATCTGCATCTCTTTGCTCTGGTTCTCATCTGTACAATGTTGGGACTTGTCAAGGCATTATATGTTAAATACCAATGAGAAGGATGAATGTAACTTAGATGCACTAGGATGGCCTTATTAACTCTTGCTTGAGTGGGCATCAGAGAAGCCTTCCCAGAACTGTGCTTTAGAGGAAGAGTTGGATTTTCCTCTATGGAAAGAGGTGTAAGATGCTACTTCAGGCTAATGGAACAGAATGAGTAAATAAATATGTGGGGTTTTGAGTATATGATCTCTTCATGAAACAAGACAATTAGATTCTAGGAATGTATATGGGGTCAGGAAAGTGGGCAGAGGAGAGGAATTTGGGGATTTGGGTCAGATCATGGAGAGCCTTGATGGCTCTGTCAGTGGATTGATTGGATTTCATACTTTAGGAATTATGGGGAAATCTATGGGGAACAGAAGGACGCAATCAACTTTGACGTGGTGTGTAGAATGTATTTAAGATAGTGCAGGAGGAGAGGTACATTTTCCAGTTTGACTAATGGGGTCAGTTAAAGGATTGTTTGCCTAATTTTCTTACTCAAAGGGAACAGATTATCCTGGGGGAAGTAGGATGTAGATGTGGAAGAGATATGTCCCCATTCCTGGAAGTATCTTTCTTATCTTTCCCACTTTCCTGGAGCTGTACTGTTTTAGAGGATTCCTGGTCACCTAGTCCAGGACAGGTGACCCATTAAGTAATCAGAAATAGCTTGAAAAATTGGGAACCTGTGAATTTGATTCTTGAATTCTCCCCTCTACTTGTGATGTGATATCTATGGGTCTTTAAAAGAGAAAAGAAAGTGGAGGGGCACTGATGGACGAGGTGGGTGAACTTTCCTTAGAGAAGAAACTCTGTGGGCCTATCCAAGTATGGCCTAGAAGGCAATGTAGTTTCTGATGAACAGGAAAAACATAATCTCTGGGCTTTATTCTTATCCTGTTATGGCTTGACTGGACCATTGTGAAAGTGTCAATTTCCTTTAGAGTATTGTCCTGGATTTGATAAATAATCAGATTTGGGATAGCAGTCATGGTTTTATCATCTAGATCACTGTAGTTTCTATTAGGAAAGCAGCCAGTTGATGCCCCCAGCCTGTAGCCATTCAGCATCCTGGTCCTTGCCTTAACTCCAGGATCTACCCTGGCCCAACTTAATTTTGGGTCTGAGAAACAGACCAGAGCTCATTGGGTGAATGCATGGCCAAGCCTGCATTGCAAAATGGAAAAGACTCAGCCACCAGGGCCTTTGGAGTTTGAGGACTTATACCAGATCTAGAATAAGCTCATGTGGCTTCTGAGGAAGGAAATAACTGTGCTCAGCCAGCTTAGATAGTCTGTTGGAGTGATCCTTGGTAATAAAGCTGGTCTTGCAGCCTTGGCAGCCCTGACCCTGAATGCAGTCCACCTTGGAAAGGGGAAAAGGACGACTGGAATCCCTGGGTAGATTTTGTCCCTTGATTTAAGTAGCTCCAGGGATGTTCCAAACTGAAAAGCCTGGGCCAGCAAATACAGGTGGGAAGGATTCTGGAAGCCAGTCAGCTGGGCTCTGTGAACTGCTTAGCTGTCCTGAGGACCTCTCGCTCTCTTCCATGTCCCTCAGAGTTTAGCTGACATTTTCTTTTGGTTTCCTGCTTATAGGACTGAATCTACTAACCTTTCTGCCCTTTTTTTCTGCTCTTTTTTTCCTTGCAGAAGGAAAGCGAGGAGCCCTTCAGGTTGTGCCCATGACCCATTGGGTCCTTTTTTGTCTATTTCCCTCCCCTCCTTCCCCAAGCACGGTGTGTGTGTGTGTGTGTGTGTGTGTGTGTGTGTGTGTGTGTATACATGCACATGTACGTGCATGATCTGTGCCTCTGAGCTTTGGCTCATGCAGTCTATTTTTATGAAAAGCAGCTTGTGTGCATGCTTCTTGCTTGTGTGTGCTCCTGCAGATATCCCTGGAGCACACTATGGGAATGTGTGTGCACCAGCATGGGTGTGCATTCAGTGCGGCATGTGTGTGCTTATACTCAGTTTGACTCCCCCAGACACTGATTACCCTCCTTTTCTCCTACTCCGCTCAGTGTGTGTCCATTGTCTACCTTTGCTGCAAACTCTGGCATATGCTATAAAACCTTGGCTGTGTCCAGCACGCATGTGTACTTCATATTTGAGAGGAGGATTTGTTGCAGGCATTTCGTGCCTCTTGCCTGAGGCCCTAAGTGTGAATGTACTTGTGCTCTGACTAGGCTTCCTGACCTCTCTGTGAGCACAAGCTTCTGTAGACCTGTTGTGTGGTTTCCCCAAACCATGTGAATGCATGGTATACTAATGCCCTGTGCTTGCAAGCACTGGCTCTTGAAGACCATGAAGGTTTGCTTTGCCTGTGATTTGGGCCATAGTAAATACTGTGAATCCTCCTTGGATTAGTTTCTGCACATCACTGTACACTCTGAAGCTTATGTTCTGAAGCCATAAGCCTAGGATCCATGTTCACCATGTGTTTACTTCAGACACAAGTTGTGTCTATTAGTGCACCCTCCTGTGGGTACTTTGTCTGGACCTCCTCCCACTCGCTGCCTTCCTTCAGTGGCTCTGTGTGCATGCTGTGTACTGCGTGTGCAGGCTTCTGCAGATGTGTTGTCCCCTCTGAGAGCAGGAAATGTGCATGATCTGAGCCAAGCTCTCGAAGACTTTTTAACTTTGTTTCCTTAAGCCTAGTGGTTTCTGGCAAATATCTCACTCTGGGTATGAAATAAGAATCTGGTGAGTGCAGTGGCTGTTACCAGAGGGAAAATAAGTTCTGGTTGGTAAGATCCAGGGATTTAGGGATTGGCTCCCTCACACTCACCCCCTTCCCTTCCGTAAGCAACTTTAGGAGACTTGCAGTTTTCCCATTACTTCACACCTACTGTTGTTCCTTCTATACTATTTCCATTGTCTTTTGCATCAGCCACTTCTGACTGCCTTTTGGACCTGCCCCTCCCATTACCAATATCACACTATCTATAGAAAGGATGGGAGGCAGATGAGGTGGACTGGGGGCTGTGGGCAGTAGCAAGATAGGCTTGAGTAAAACACAGACAACCTAACAGGTTATCTCAAAACTTAAATCCAAAGTTCATCTGAGCCTACTGCTGACCCAGGTAATTCTCCCTCACTTTTCCATCACCCTTAGCTCTGTTAGCACCGTTATTCTCCTTTGTATTTCCTCATTCTATCCATAACTTTTCCCACCTTTAGCTCTCCAAAGCATCTCTCACTGTTGAAAGCTAAGCACCTGAATTCTACCTCCCTTCTGGAGTTCATTTTCTCCAGGATAGTTAGGAGGCAGGGAAGTTTTTGGGGGTGGAAGGGAACAAGGAGGGGCAGGAAGCCCCAGACCTGTTAGCACTAGGTTTCTTGTGCCTGAAAAAAGCATGTGCTATTGGGTTTCTGGAGTACTCTGGCAGCTTTGGAACTCTCTGCATGCCACTTGAAGGATTTGCTTTTGTTTGTTTTGTTTTGTTTTGGTGCAGAAACCTTTAAAAGGTGATTTTTGAACTGTTTCCTTCCTTGAATTACTTGGTGCCTCAAGTTTTGACTTCTCACTCTAGGGCCTATAAAATTCACTACAATGATAATCTAGGTGTCTAATCTACCTTGGGTTCTCTTGTTTGTTAAATGTGTAGTTTATTAAATGTAGAGAGTATACTCAGTGTCAGTGAGTAAGGGGTTCAAGGCATCCAAACTAAATCCAACCACAAGATGAGATAGGATTCCAGAGAGACCAGGTCTGACTGTGGGACATTAAAGGAGTTTAGGAATATAGCTGGAGGAAGACTGGACTCTGTAGGTGTCCTATTGCTTTAGTGAGGCCTGGAAGCCTAAGTAGGCCCTTCTCCTGTGCTTGGTTTACTGCTGCCTATGCCAGTGGCTCATATAAGAGCGACATGAGTTCTGCCATTCCAGTAGACTTGAGCCCTGGGACCTCAGTGAGCTTTGCCTTAAGTCCTATTCACTGAGGAGACAAGTATCACTGATTTCAGCAGCCTGTTTGTTGCCCTGGCTGTTCAGGGCATTGATTTAGATGTCAGCCTGGCTGTCACCAGGTAGTGAATGTGACTTACACTGCTCTGGGCTTGTGCTCTACTGATCGCTGCTCCAATTACAGGCAATCTCCCATCTTTCCCAGGATCTAACTTGTTTCCTATCTCTTTTTAAAGATTCCAGATGATGGTGACCTCTCTCTGCCTCAGTGGCTCCCGGAAGGGTAAGTAATTCTGTGGATTTTATTCAGTCTCTCTTGACACTTTTACCTTTTCCCCTGGGAAGCAGGGGAGACAGCTTCATAAGCTGCGTCCTGGGGAAGGAAAAGGTTCCCTTATAGGTTGGTTGGTTCTCTGGTGCAGAGGAGAGAACTCTGCTAACTGATTCCTCAGAGGCAGAAGAGGGAACTTTGCAGAATGGTTTGCCTGGGGCAGGGGAGAGAGCTTTGGGGCCTTCTTACCCTTGCCTCTGTAATTTCTGGTTCATCCTTTCATAGTGGTGATATACTCTTTAAGTAGAACAAAGAGGAAATTCGAAATATATCTGCATTTGGAAACATTTTTTTTCCATTTCGTTTGTTTTTTAATTTTTGTGGGTACATAGTAGGTGTGTCTATGGGTTACATTAGATATTTTGATACAGGCATACAATGTGTAATACTCACATCAGGGTAAATGGGGTATCTATCACTTCAAGCAGTTATCCTTTCTTTGTGTTACACCATTTATACTCTTTCAGTTTTTTTAAAATGTGCAATGCATTATTGTTGACTGTAGTCACCCTGTCGTGCTATCAGATACCAGATCTTATTCATTCTATCCATTCCATTGTTGATGGTGTGGAATTTACTCCCTAGGCTCGGTCCTAGTCCAGCTGTTGTGAGTCATCTACTTGTTCCATTTCACTTTAATCAGGACATAAGTAGCATCCCTTTCTGAACTCTGTATGTTCTGTCTGTGCTTCTTGTTTGGGAGTTTCAGACCCATGTGATTGTGCCAGTCATTTTAAGCTGCTCAACTGTAGCCTGTTTTAAGAACTGACTGTTCTTAAGAGAGAAGAGAGGTTAAGTGCCTTCCCATCCCCCACTCCTTCCCACAAATACTACCAACTGGTTCTCTGAACCCTCCTTTTCCCCTTTTCCTACAGTGGCTTCTGACATCAGAATTCTCAGTAGTTACTGTGGCTAGGGAAGAAGAAAGATCAGATAAATGATCTGCTACATTTTTACATGCTCCTTTCCCTTGCAATGTGTTGTCTTTCTTTAAAAAAAAAAATTTTTTTTAACCGTTTTTTTTTTAGGTTCAGGGGTACATGTGCAGGTTTGTTATATAGTTAAACTCATGTCACCGGGGTTTGTTATACAGATTATTTCATCACCCAAGTACTAAGCTTAGTACACAATAGTTATTTTTCTGCTCCTCTCCCTCTTCCTACCCTTCACCCTCAAGTAGGCCTGTGTTCCGCTCTTTGTATCCATGTGTTCTCATCATTTAGCTCCCACTTATAAGAGAGAACATGCAGTATTTGGTTTTCTGTTTCTGCATTAGTTTGCTAAGAAGAGTGGTCTCCAGCTTCAGCCATGTTCCTGCAAAGGACATAATCTCATTCTTTTTTATGGCTGCATAGTATTCTGTGGTGTATATGTACCACATTTTCTTCACCCAGTCTGCCATTGGTGGGTATCTAGGTTGATTCCATATCTTTGCTATTGTGAATAGTGCTGTAGTGAACATACTCGTGAATGTGTCTTTATGGTAGAACACTTTATATTCCTTTGAGTATATACCCAGTAATGGGATTGCTGAGTCGAATGGTGGTTTTGTTTTTAGTGGAATCACCACACTGCTCTCCACATAGTTGAACTAATTTACACTCCTACCAACAGTGTATAAGTGTTCTCTTTTCTCTGCAGCTTTGTCAGCATCTGTTATTTTTTGAGTTTGTCTTCTTTTAATCAAGAGTTAATCATTGAATGAACTGCCCCCTTCTTCTTTCATTGAAATATCATTTATGTAAAAAACAACAACAACAACAAAAAAACTTCTTGGCTTAAGAGATACATATTGTAGTTTCTAGAATTAGCTACAAAGTTGTGGCACCAGTTGCTTCTTCAATGATCTTTAGTTTTTTTCCTTCTAATAATTGTAAAATACATACATGTTAATGGAATATATCCAGACTATTTTTAAATGGAGCCATGCAGTAGTTTTCTAAATAATTCCCTATTGTCTTTCTTCCTTTTCTTTCATCTTAGTCCTTAGAAGCTGTCCTAAGTATAGAACTTCCCTTGGTATGGTAAATTCATTAAAAACACAGCTTACTGCCTGTGTTCGGGGAGCTAAGTTTATTAGAAATCAGCATATTGAGTGGCCTGTTTCAACTCCTGGACTTGACCCAGTTTTTGGTTCCATTCTTTGCCTAGATAGCTAGAAGTACCTACTTTGTCTGTTGGGATATTTCTGCCTTTAGACCAACTGTAATATACAGCCCAGCTACCCAACATTCCCAACCTCTTTGTTCTCATTAAAACAAAGTATATGAGTTCTTTTCATTAAGACCAGAGAGATTTTTATGAAGTGACACTAAGGCCCAAAGTGAAGAAGGAATTCTGGGAGAAGACAGTACATTAATAGAATAATTGAAGTTAAAATGTAGATTATCTCAGTGTAATTTCTTTTGGGTACGTTTTCTGTTCTTATTACATATTGTTATAAAAGAACGATAAAATTAATCAGTATAGAAAAGGCATAAAAGTTTTAGAAATGTCCAGCTGCTCTAGATGTAGTTGTTCCCCAGGCTTTGTTGATGTGTCCATAGGGCTAGGCCACACTCACAGAGTCCCTTTGCTGTTTCCTTTCTAAATGATGTTTGTTTTTTCTTCCCTTAAGAGGTCTTTTGGAAGTCTCTCATCCCACCTCCCCTGCTTCCACTTGATTATGAGGGCTCCTTTCTCCATGGAGAAGGCTTTTTTTCAGGATGCCTAGGCAGATAGAACTGGTGACTCTTTTAGTCTTGGATGGAGATGGGATCCTTCTATATGCCATTGTCTGATAGTCTCACCTAGATTCTTCCTCTAGAGCCATTCCTGTGGGCTCTGTTCTAGCACAGGCTGGGAAAGACTTATCTTTAGAGAGCAGTGTCTTTGCCCTGAGTGTGGGGAGAAGCCCTCTTCTACCTTGCCAATTTCTACCTTGCCTTATGGAGCACAAAAGTGCCTTCAGATAATCTGAGGTGACTTGAACTGTCACTGTGGGATAAAAGAGCCTCAGTCCTTAGCTAAAACTGTAAGAGACACTGAGGGGTACTGTGAGAATAGATTCTATTGGTTGCTCTTCCATGGCATTATTTCCCTGACTTTCTGTCTTCCCTGTTCGTCTCAAAGACACATGGTAGAGGTCAGTTCATCTTCCTCTAGGGAGAGAGAGAACGAGGGGAGTGGAACACTGAACCCACCAGAACTCAAATCAGGACTGAAGATTCTGACATATTTTCTTCTCTCCTCAGGCCAGCTGGAGGGCTCTATGGCATTGACAGCATGCCGGATTTACGCAGAAAGAAGCCACTGCCACTTGTCAGTGATCTGGTGAGTGAAGACTCTTGTGCAGGTGTAGGTAGTAGCCTTGGGGTATCCCCCATTGGGCCTTCTGGGACTTAGCAGTGGCTTCACAGGGACTGTGTTCTACCTCACTCCCTAGTCAGAGTCCTGAATTTATTAGCTCAAGCTCCTACCTGGAATATTTTTGGCTTGGGGGGGGCTCTCAAAGCTAGGATTTTGTGTCTTCCTATAGGTATCTAGCTCATATAGGTATCTCTACAGCCTTCTTTGATGACCTGTAATGAAAACTCCCTTCAGCCCTTGACATAGATCATTGAGCTTGGTATGGGATGAACATTACTGGAGCTGATGCCCTCTTGGAAGTCAAGCGAAAGTCTCTCCTCAAGATATAGGTTTTCTAAACTATCTGTAACCTAGTGTCAGGCACTGAGAGACAGTGACAAATATGTGTGGAATTGAATTGAAACAGGCTTAAGAGTTAAAGCTGATCCCAGGACCTCCAGGATGACCAGAAGCCCCATTCTGGGTCATACCTTCTGAGCCACGATCAGCTCAAGCAGTTTTCTGTAGCCTTGTGAGTAGTTGGGGGTTAGGTGAGGTCCAGGCTTTCTCAGAGCTCTAAAGCCAGAAATAAGGTGTAAGGGTTTGGTAAAACATGAACCCTTTTCCCTTATTACCATTTTCTCTTCCTATTTTCTTTTTTTCTCCCTATTCTATCTATTGTTTTTCCTATATACTCCTTTTCCCTCTTCCCGATTTCGTTTTCCACTGGTTTCTCCCTCCTTAGTTGGCTGAATGAAAGTATCATCTACCATTTTCTCTTCATCATTTTTCTTCCCTTCCATTTATCTTATCATTTGTTCATCTT